CTGCTGCCCTGGGTCCTCATTGGAATGTTCAAATCCACACGCAAATTTCAATTTTAAAATGCTTAGCTTAATTCTTCACTATTCTTTCACATCACCAGTAATTTTATTTCTCAGATGAAAGATCACACATTCACGCAATGCAGAGCTATGATTTTCCTGCCCTCTCATAGCCAAGATGTCTACTTCCAGGCTTCCATCTCCTTCTTCCACAAGACAAGTGGAAGGGGGAGATGCTGCTGAAGGATTTCTCATCTGCACAGCAGCAGTTGCAGCCAAATCTCTAAGCAAGAATAGGGAGGAACCAAAGGCTATTTTATGGCCGACAGCTATGAATTTCCACCACTCCAAAAGCAGGAGAACCTGGCACAAGGCTTTGAAGGGAAACTGTTGCAAAAAGAAAAGGGAAAGAAAGCCCTAGAAATTAGGATTCTGTACCACAACATGCTCAACTTCCCTATATCCACTAACAAACGTCCAATGTAAAGCGCAGAACTAGTAATAACAGAAAGTAATCCATTACCCTAATGCCTCTTTGGAATAGAACTCCATTAAAGTAATGAGACTCTGGAGATTCTTCTCAAGGCTGAAAACATGAGCAACAGCAGCTCTTCCCACAGGATTAAAAGTGATCAGGTAGAGGTTATGAAGCGTTCCCAAGAGATCTGAATGGTCAGTTTCATCAGTGGCTGTGAAGCGCTGGAAGTGGGAAAAAAGTTCTGAAATGCACTGCAGAGTCTGTGTTGAATGAAGAAGCCACAGGGGAAATGCTTCATCACTCGCACCATCTGTCTGGAGACCGTCCTCTTGATCGGGATCTGAAAATTGGCAAAAGGCTCGCACAAGAAGGTTGGTGGCTTCATACTCCGAGAGGAAGAAAAGGAGACCTTTCTGTGATTGTGCCAAGAATCTCAAGATATCCCTAGCAGACTGAAGTACCCCAGAGTGTACATTTGTTACTGGATTCGACAAGAGCAATGTAATGGATTCCAAGAAATGGTGGCTGTGGAGGTACCTGAAGAAATATATAAGGAATATGAATTATTCTTTTTTGAAAATATAGTACATCAGAAGAATTTCCCCTCTAGTTTGTGAATTTGAACTCACATGCAACAATATAGAAAGTTCCTACAAAAGATTGCAACTCTGTGTTCATTTTACAAGATACTACCATTCTGATTCTAGTAGAGGAGCAAATCCCACAGTTGTAGAGAAGCACTGAACAGCACATGTACAATAGCAACGACAACAACCATCTATTCCTGGAATTAGTTTTCCACCTAACTCACTCAGGATTTCTTTCCCCATGTTTTCTTATTTGTAAGGAACAGATTTTAAAAATCGTAAACTTAATTTAAGAGTTCGTGCATTTCCCTGCCGTCAAGTAATCAATGTACCTTATTTAATTTTAAGACTTCTTGCCAACCTAAGGAAACCAACTTCAGATTCTCCTGCAGCTGAAACCACTGATAGAACTGTTCTCATTTCTTACGATCATACTAACAAAAACCCTGCCATAATCTTCCTAGGCATCAAAATAAGGAGTCAGAGGATTTCCAGTAAATAGGGTGGGGACAATTCAATGAGCAATAGGAGAAGGAGACACCAGATTACAGTGGGGTCTCTACTTAAGAACGTCCCTACTTAAGAACAATTCCACTTAAGAACAGCTCCATTTGCTAAATTTTGCTTCTACTTGAGAACAAAAATCCAGATAAGAACAGGAAAAAAAAACTTTCCTGCTCTTTTTTTAACCTTAGGTCATCTTAGGTTAAAAAAAAGTTCTCCCCCTAGTGGTAGAGTACGTATTAACCAGCTTTGCATTAATTCCTATGGGAACTAATGCTTCAATGTACGAACGCACCTCTACATAACAAAAAAACAGCCAGAACGGATTAATTGGTTTTCAGTCCATTGCTTCAAAATTAGCTTCGTCAGAAGTGCTTTTAACACTGTTCCCTGACCTAAGGGGAAAAAAAGAAAAAAAATCCCCCTCTAGTGGTAGAAGGCGGAATAGCAGCTAGTTTCTATGGACGAAAAAGAGCAGATACGGATTAAATGGTTTTCAATGCATTCCTATGGGAAATGCAGATTCTACATAAGAACTTTTCCACTTGAGAACCACCTTCCAATACGGATTAAGTTCTTAAGTAGAGACCCCACTGTACATCACTAGATCAGAGCATATGATCTAGATAGGGATGTGCTGCATTCAGATTTCTGGATTCCAAACTCTCACAAATTCTCCAGGCAGAATTCTAGGAGCTCCTGTTCACAGACCCACACCTTCAGACACCTATATTTTTTACCCACCTCAAGTGAGACTTAGAACTTCTATAACCCAATCCAACACGATTACACACTTACCACAGAGACATATAAAACAGAGAAGGAGATAATTTGAAGAAGAGAGAATGAGGCTGAGTAAAAATTATGGGGACACAAAAGGAGACAGAAAGATAGAAATGAAGGAAAGAGACCAGTCTAGACTGAAACATCATTAATATTAGCCTATAATAACAGTCCTTACTCCACATGATATAATGCATCTACTTGCGTGAAGAAAGAAAGAAAGGAAAGGAAAGGAAACCATGACTTGAAAAACCTACAGGGCATATTAAAATCAACTAAGGCCACATACCTGAACAGGACTGGGAAAGGGTCATCCCTTTCTGCAGGGCCTGTAATACGTGCTGTTGTTGGGAAAGACTTCACAGGGGGCTGGATCATGGTATGAGGTGCAGTCTCCATCAGATGCAAAATTTCATCCAAAAGGTTAATGAGTTTCTCCACTTCACCTTCACTCATACTAGAAGACTCCAAAAGGTTGTCCATGTCCATCGGGACTTCCACGTCATTCTCATAATCCTGGCCTCCAGCATCTGGATCCTGCTCAGGCTCAGAATGATTAGGAAGGGATGGAGGATTTTCTGCTAATTGGTCAGCAAACTTTTTGACCTCAGACAAAATCTCATAGAAATGGCATTTCTGAAGAATGGCAGAGCCTGCAGTGACTACTCTTACTGTCTGATCCAGCAAGATAAGCTCCAGGAGTCTTTGATAACCACTTTTCTCATGGGCTTCTAAGCCACTCCTCAAAAACATTTCCATTCCTTCAGTCATGCTAATAACACTATCCAGAGCTTTGAAAGCATTGAGTTTAAGGGAAGAAGAGACATGATCTGCAAAGAGCAGCTCAAATAAAGAGTTAATTACTCCTGCTTGCAGGAGCCCAGATATTCCTTGTGTTCCACATTCTGCCAGTGAGGAAACAAGTTTTGTCCCAGCTTTCAGTTGCCGGACATTCAAAGCAATCGGCTGTCTCAGGGCTACCTGTAGATTTAAAGACTGCATTGTCCAGTCAACCAGCTGGCTTATATAGTCCTGATTTGTGTCTTTTAACTGCAAGTAGCTTAGTCCTTTGACTATTAAACTTGGAATTTCTTCCAAAGCAGTGACCCACTTTGTATTTCTCTCTTCTTGATACAGTTCAAGCAGTTCAGTCAATTTTATGGAAGTCTCCACTGCTCCCGAGCCTTCCTTTTCTAGATCTTGCTCTCTCATCTTAGCAACTTCCACCTCAAAAGTGGTCTTGTATGGACAGCTGAAGTACAGAAGTGGGCCCAGCTCCCTATCAAAAGGATCATAGGTCACAGGTGGCACTCTGGCTAGATCTTCTGCAGTGTATTCTATGTCAAAGCTTGGATACTTAAAAGTCTCACGCTCCAAGTCTGCAATTCCATCTTCATCACTTGAAATCTGCTCATAACCATCATCACCTGAAATTAAATTTCAAAAAGTCTTCCCTGAATACATTCTTCTACTACTTTCAAACAAGATACAGCTATATGTTAACTGTTATGTCCCACCAAGTCACATCTGACTTACAGCAAATCTATGAGTGACCTCCAAAATGTCATATTAACAACAACCTTTTGTGTTAGCTTCTGACTAGAAAAAATTAAACATCTTTCCAGTAATAAATAATTGTATCATAAGCCTTTTACAGGATCTTTCAACAACAGTTAACAGAGCCCCTACTGAAAAAATTGCAAAAGCATTACATAACTCAAGTCTCTCCACATTTTGTATCCTTTCACCTTCCTTTCATCAATAACTATCCAGATTTTTTCCAAGAGCACAGTCCTATGCATGACTACCTGCAAGCAAGCCTACAGTGAGACTTACTTCCAAGTAAACATGGTCACAATTAGGCTTTGTATGTTCATTGTGACTACCAACGCTCTTTCATGCAAAATAAAAGCTCCCCCCCCAAAAAAAATAAACTGAAAAAGATGGGAAATAGGAACAAATGCACCCAAGTGCACATTAATGTTGCTCTTCTAGTCAACCATCTTGACAGCATTATAGGCTAGCAACTAAACAACCTTATCTATAATGACTGAGCAATTATGAAAATAGCATAGGAAGTTATTAAGGCAAGCTACTGGCACCCCAGGTTGCTATTTGTTGCTTGTCTGAACAAACAATTTTATTTTAGCTTAGTTAAAAAGCTAGATATATGTTACTATGCTTAGTGAAACAGTGGAAGAAAATACAATATTTAACACATTTTTAACATAAGACGTAAAGAAGTTGAAATACCACAGAGTCTTGAGGACAATGGTTGTGTCTCTCATTACTAAATGGCAGAAACACTAGATAGTTCTCACAGACTTACAATTGACACAGCACTCATAACACAGTGGGATTCGGGAAGCAGTCTTGAGATAGCAATATAATATAATGATTGAAGTAGGAGTAATGGAAGAAAACTTTGAAAGAAAAGTGCTGCCTTAACGGAAATCACATACAACATTTTTAGAGACAAATAAAAAATAATGACACAAATATATTATTGACTGGAAGTGCAAAGTCTATATGCCATTTCCAGCACTGCATAATTCAAGTTGTTTGCAAGTAAATCTCATGATCCTTTCCCCAATTTCACAGTGAACACTTTCATAGCATGTTTCAAAAACTTTTCTCTATTGCCCATTTCAATGCTTGGATTTCCAGAAGTTGCTTCCAAAGTTCCACAGCCTCAGAACCTGTTCAAAGACACAGGCTCATGATTCACTCACCACTGCCATCAAGTGACATATACAGTAAATGGATATCGCAGATTAAGCAATAGAGAAGCTTCACACATTCCCACGCCACATTCAAAACAATACTTTCCCAAGTATAGACAGTTCACATGTCTGTACTGGAAGAGTCTAAGAAACACTGATTAGAGCATGGTACATATGTGCATGTTTGAAGAAGCCCACAGAAATTCAGTACTTGCTTACCTTCAACTTCCTCCTCTTCATCACCGTCTTCTTCATCATCATCTTCATCACCATCCTCTACATCATCTTCTTCATCCTCCTCCTCTTCTTCTGGAATACTCTCCGTTTGGCCATCTTCATCCTCTTCTTCCTCTTCCTCCTCCTCCACGTCCACTCCATCTTCATCATCTTCTACTTCTTCTGGCTGATCTTCTTCTACTTCTGCTTCATCAGAATAAGGCCCCTCTTGATGCACAGATGTCCGATCAGGAGAAATGGGCTCAAAGTAATCTTCTCTGTGATCAACATCATCATCTTTTTCTCCAACCACTGAAATGAGTGGCATTATCAAGAAAGCAACATAATAAAAAATGGGGGCAGAAGCTGTTCATTTCAGAAACAAATACAAAGAAAGCCATCTACAATGAAAGTACTGCAACTATGTGATTTAATTTAAGAGAAATTTGTGGATTTACACACCACTTAACTCTTCCTCCAGATGCTAATATGTCTTTTAGAGATAGAGACTTCAGTATGGGTACTGAATTTTTGAACTCAGACATATCACTCTCATAACTCAACCCCAGTCCTGAAGGTAAAGGAACCTAGGCACTTCCATAAATTGCTGCTTTGGTCTAAACAGTGTCATAGCTGTCATCTCAGTGGGCTAGAACAGATGTCTGCCAATTCTTCTCTACAGAATAGACGGGGCAGGAGAAGGGATGCATGACACTGAGTCACCAGCTACAAATGTCACTTCTCGGTGGCAATTCAATCATGGTTCATAAGGCTAATATCCATGAAGTGCTAGGATGATGCAACTCCCTGGCAGAAGAATTCAAGAGACATATAGTTCCTCTCTGCCTGCCAACAACACTACAAGCTCAAGATTCCCAACTTAGCTTCAAAGAATTCATGGATATTAAACCCTGTCTCTCTGAAGTCAGGGTTTAATATAAAGAAAACAGTACTGTACCATGATGGTCACAGTTTTAATCTACTCACTGAATGCCAATGGAACAGAGTTAAGAAAATAGACAATACAATCTCAACACAGTTCACCATAAATATGAATACAGAGATGTTCTCAAATCTAAGATCCAGTGTGCATACTAAGAATGAAAAGCAGAATGTGGCAAGTCAGTGGATGAACAATGTATCAGAGAGACTGAGCACAGCTCTTTGTTGAGTGTACACTAATGATTCACCACATTCAAACCTGACACTCTGTGAGAGGCACCACATACTTCAGTTCTCATCATACTCCAGATTGTTAAACAGAACAGAAACATGTGGCAAGGACATGAAGATGTTCATAGATGTGGGATACTGTGCTTTTGCATCCACAATTCAAAATGCCAGGAAATGGCCTGATACAGATGCACAATATCATGTCCATGTTGACAGCAGGAAAGATTGCCAACCAAGGCTCCTCATCTCTCAGTTCTGCCTCTCCAAAGCCAAGCGTTCCCCCTTTTCCATGTGCTGTCTCTCCTCCTCCCTCTCCCCACCCAGAACTCACTGCTTCTCAACCGCCCATGAAGAGGCACTTCCAGTCCCTCTTGGAACTGGATAAATGGATTACTAATTCAGAATTAAAATGGGAAAAGGTATTCTTTTGTATTTTAATCCTGAATTATAAACCCATCCATCCAACATCACACTACTACAACTACAGGAAAAAGCACTACATATATCAAAAGAATTCTCGTATCAATGAACATGGGACAATCATCCCAATATTGAAAAACTCCACAGCCACCCCTCAAATGCCCTCAATTTATAGCTCTCTGACAGAGACTGAAAACATGCAAACAGAATTTCTCTCCAAGGTACCTGATACAGGCATTGGCTCATCTTCATCATCATCAGGAGGTGGGGGTCCTGGTGGAGTCCTGGGTCCTCTAGGCTGTGGCCGTGGAGGACTGCCATTGAACTGATCCTCTTTCTCTCCATCAGCTATAAAAATAGTTTTCTTCAAGTGAAAATGACTGTTTATAAATGTTATAAAGAAACAGAATTGCATTGGGGTGTGTGAGACATGGGTTGCTAGAGAAATGCTTCCAGAACACACGTGCTATCTTTCAGGAAACTCTTGCATCAGAGAAATGAAAAATCAGGAAGCCGTTGAAGGAGAATTGTTTACGAAAAAGCTCTGATACATACATGCATCACATACATGAATGAGTATACATATCAGGAAGAAATTTTAAAAACCCAACTAAAATAAAAAGTGAGACCCAAACATTTAAAGATAGATGATTCGAATCTGGCCAGAAGAAGAACTGAAATCCAAACATATAAAAATAGATTATCTGGGTAATATGGGGGGAAATTTTGTAATATGAAGATTTCCCTCTGCACACACACAAATTTTCAATCAGGTTAGTTTTGACATGCTCACCAAGTTTAGGGGGTCTTTTCAAAGTCGTTTGCTGCTGAGGAGGAGGAGGTGGAGGAGGAGGAGGAGGAGGAGAGTCCCTGTCATGGCTTATGACTCTATCAACAGAGCCGTAGATTGCCAATGTCAAGCAGTTGTACCAACCTCTCAGAACTAACCCGTCTGTATTGACCTGGTTATTAAAGAAGGCAAAACATCAACCAAACAAAAACACTCCACTGTTCTTAGATCTATGCTATTAGATAGGTAGCAAAATACCACATCTGTACATCTACCACGTTTCCCCGAAAATAAGACAGGGTCTTATATTAATTTTTGCTCCAAAAAAAGCAGTAGGGCTTATTTTCAGGGGATGTGGGTTTTTTTCATGTACAACAATCTACATTTTTTCAAATACAGTGGTGCCTCGCATAATGGGCACCCCGTTTAACGACGAATCCGCATAGTGACGATGTTCTTGCGATCATTTTTGCGATCGCATAACGATGTTTCCTATGGGAGAAAATCACTTTGCGATGATAGGTAAGCTGTTTCGCTTACCGATTTTCGCATAGCGATATTTTTTCCCCAGCTGATCGGCAGTTCCAAAATGGCCGCTGGGTAAAGCAGGGACGGATTCCTCGCTTACCGGGCAGCTAAAATGGCCGCCGTATGGAGCATTTTCGCTTAAAAGGTAAGTTTTAAGCCCATAGGAACGCATTGAAGGGGTTTCAATGCATTCCTATGGGCTTTTTAATTTCGCATAGCGACGAATCCGTATAGCGACGATTTTTGCTGCTCTGATTATCAGCGCTATGCGGGGCACCACTGTACAGTCATGTCATCGTCTGGTTGCTGCACAGTGGCTTTTACTTAACTAGGGCTTATTCTTGGAGTAGGACTTATATTACGAGCATCCTGAAAAATCATACTAGGTCTTATTTTCAGGGAAACAGGGTAAAATGAAGTTAGATATTTGTGCAGTTCTAGTTAGACATTACGTGTTGCTAGTCATAAAATGAAATGTGTCCTTTGCAAAGGCTTGAAGTAAATACTGTGGAAGCTCCAAGAGACTCAACTCTTACTTTAAAAGCTTACAGTACAGCCTTCATAAAAAGAGATATCTGAAAAACAGGGGTCAAAATCTAAGGGCTATGGCATAACTCAGAGGTACCCAACCCCTGGTCCATGGCTCGGTTCCAGTCCGCGGCCTGAGCCAGACTGGGCCACAAAGACAGACCCCTCCACCCCTACATGCACTCCCCCCGCACAGCCCCTTTGCGCCTGTGTGTGTGCCTGCTCCCACAAAAGCACTCCCCCACCCCTTTGCCCATGCGCATGAGTGCCTCCCCCAAGCACTCTGCTGCCCTTCGCACATGTGCATGAGCGCAGGGGGGTGCCCTGCCTTCCCCAACTGGTCTGCAGGGTTAAAAACTAGGGTTGGGGAACACTGGTATAACTCACAGTAGCAATCTTCCACTGATTAACAATTGGCACATTCCTCACTATGTGTCAGTCAACCAGGAATGTGCTAGCCATGACACCAAAAATCCAAATGATGACAGTAATCAGTGGCAATTTGTTGCTGCACTTTATACCACTGTTCTTCCGCCAACATAACTACAACAGGATTCTGGTGATGAAGTCTTTTTGCCTCAAGAATTCCACTCAGACAACTATCTGTACAAGGCTATTATAGCCAGCTGTAATTTCAAATAAAGGCCTTGTTGTCTTTTTACCAACAAAAGGTAAAGTTCAATGTCACCTAACCTTTTTTTCTATTGCACTAATGAACTTAAGCTGCTTCTAAAGAGAAAGAGCATTCTTTAAACCACCTATGGGACTTGGAAAACCTATTTTCATTGAGTGGTGGTTAATTTCCAAGAAAATGTCTTTGCTCAGCATAGAAAAGACAGAGTAAGCATCAGGCAGGCCTCCATGTGAAAAACATTCTCATCAGGATCCTTCTACAACAAGGGGGTCCTTGTTGTGGTTGCCACATACCTCTTCTACGGCTGTTGTGGGAGCTGGAAAAAAGTTTCCAATTAAAGGATAGAAGCAGACTCATGGAATGCTCCATGAAGTTAAGCCTCTACACATACAGGGCTTTACAGGCAATGTCAGCATTCTGAATCATGCCTAAAAACAACAATTTGGGGCAAAGCAGTAGTAGCTTCCAAACAGGGTGGATTTGAACTGAATCAAATTCATTTAAATCACTATTTAAATCAGGATTTTAATTTTTAAAAAATCAAAAAGATTTTTTGATGATTTAAACAAAAAAAATGGGTTTTTAAAATTTAAATTGTGATTTAAATCAATTTGGATTTTTATCCACTCTGCTTCCAAAGTTAGGGCTCCAGACATTTTTGCTCCACAAGCCTGAACAAGCACGGGTATTATTAGGGCTACTGGAAGTTATAGTCCAAGAACATCTGGAGCCTAAGTTTGGAACTCACTGCATTAAAGAACTGGCGAGAGATGCTCTCTATGCTCAGTCCTTGTTGTTAACATGGCAACTAGGTTTACGTGAAGTCCACAGAAGTCATCAAAAACAAACCCATATCTTACACATTAAAATAATCCAATGCAAAACTCATTATCACTACATCCCAGCATTCTCTGTCTAGCCACAGCAATTAAAAGAAATACTGTATTACAATACAACCAGAACTAACAAATGACAACTACCTTTGCATTAGGCCTGAAAATAATTGAAGAGTTCTCATCATACTCCAGGCTGTTAAACAGAACAGAGACATGTGGCAAATGTTAAAAAAAATGAATCTTGCATCAACATTCTGTGTTAGCCTCACAATGGGATTTCCATCCAAATAATATTGCTACGACTAGAAAGGCTGCAAATCAAATCAAAGCAATTCTACATGCCAGTGTAGTCACAGCTCTAATCAGGATATGAAGCCTGGATTTTAAACCTGATTAGCAATTTTTTTAGAAGGACAGTAATTTATGTTCCACAGGCTACTAGAAAAAAACTGCTTGAAGAAAAGAATTTAAAAAGTGTACATGCCCACAGCCCATTCACAAAATTGTATCTGTGCCACACACTACCTATATTAGAACATAGTTTAAAGAACATAGTTTTCAAATATACCTCTCTCTTCCTTAAAGGCAGTGACTCGAAAAAAGTACATCCCTGCACTCCCCTAATGATGTTCAACTCCTTCTATTCCACACAGTCTGCAACATCTAAACTCTTTAGCTTACACTTAGCCTTCATTGAGACACTGTTGAGTTTGGCACTAGGATTGTTGAAAAGCAGCTTCAAAACCTGCAAGTCACAGCAGACTCCCCTGGCTATTGCTTTCATATATTCTCAACCGCCTAGAGTGGTCTCAATCGACTAGATAGGCGGGATATAAATAGAATATATAAATAAATAAATAAATAAACTTCCATCCCAAAATCTTCATGTCAGGGAAACAGATGGGAGTAAAGATTCCAAAATACACTGAAGGCACCACACTGAGAAGAGCATGATTAAAACAAACATAGTCCCGTTTATTATCTTCAAAGCGAAAGCAAGCAACTTGTAGCCTTCCACTTATGGCTGGACTACACTTCCCATCTGCCTTCCCCACTGCAATGCTGGCTAGAGGTTAGTGGAGTTGTACTCCAGTGACAACCAGAGGGCCACAAGATGCCAACCCTTGCTCAACAGCAAATTAGACCTTCTTCCTGGAGAAGGACAAGTCTATTTCCCATATGCTGTGCATTTTACAGCTTCAGAGCTAAGTAAACTTGAATTCTTATGAAATAATTTTGTAAGTGCTTACTGTTACATAACAGCACTGATGTTACCTGTCTGTCATGGGTTTGGAGGGAAAGTTCCATCCTATGGGGAGTGGAAGGCGGGACATCAGGAGGAGGGGCTGTACTGTATAAATATGTGATGCCTGTGTGGTGAAGAGGAGATGCTGAGACAGACTGTGAGACACTGGGTTGGGACGAAGCAGCAGCTGGGGAGAAGAAGCTGTTGTGGGAGTCTGGGTGTCTGACAGGGTACTACTGTGTGTCAGAGTACCAACCTGATAAGTTCAGGTGTCTGTGGGTTAGCCAGAACTGATGGGTTCAGGGTCTGTGCTTTAAGTTAAAGGTTCTAGGTGAACCAAACTGTATGCTTGTGTGTGTGAGAATAAGCCACGTTACTTTATTTTATTCACCTGATTGTTTTATTTACCCTGTTTGTATCTAAAATAAACCTTATTCTTTTATTGTTTAAAAATCCATCCCTGGTCTGTGTGACTTCTTATAGGGAATGGTTGGTGGCAGCTTAGTAACTGTGTGATAGATCCCAGTAGGTCTGGGTTTGTCACACTTACCTTCCCAGCCTGTCAAATACAGGGGCACTTGGCTTGCTGACATTATTGAAAAACAAGTCCAATTGAAATGAATGAGGAGATGTCTCACTGGGAACAGAGTCAAAGGGAAAAGTTAAATATGCCTGATAAACAAAAAAAATCTCAAGTTCTGAAAGAACAATTCTTACAGTCAACCACCATCTACAATTAGCTTTAAAAAAAACCAATTCCCACCTCTTAAGAAAATTGACTCAGTTTTAAATTGTAAGACCACTGATCATCATTTTTTGTTAAAATGAGTGGCTCCAATTTCTGAGGTTCTTTGATGCAGCACTAACAAAAATATAAACCCAAACAAAAACAACTACCCATCTACATGTTTATACTGATTCAAACTTCCTAAAATCCAATCCAAGGAGATTATACACTGTTTAGCAATATGCAAATGCCTTGTGATCCATTTCTTAATCATGGACAGTTTATTGATATGCCAGTTCTTGTACCTTCACAAGCACTCTGTATGGCAACATTTTTGTAGGTTCTCATTTGTCTGTTACATTGATACAGAATTCATAAACAATTACTATGAACATTCTACTTACAGACTTTGCACACAGAGAAAGTACTTCCATGTTTGCAAAGATGGAACCCATGTTTGTCCAAATGTCTGCCCTGCAGCCACCTTCAATATACTCAACATTCCAAAGGCAACTCAACCGTTGAAGGTGACTTTGGGGTAAGAAATGGGTATTGCCAGAAAAAATAGGACACAGTAAAGTAACATTCTTCTCTCTCTTATCCCTCACTTTTTGTAAATATTATTTGTCATGGATATGAATGGGACAAACTGAACATCTAAAATGAAGGATTAGAATTAGCACTAGTCAGAACTGCCTCCAGATTTTGTTTGCAAATTTGGTTTAAATTGGCAAAACATTCATGCTGTCTTTACCATCCTTTTATCATGGTTTCACAAATCTAGTCACCAGCTCATTAGGGTTAACTTGCTGTGGCCTTCTAGCTACAAATCCTGTCTTAATACACAGACAGATCCCTCTCCCAAGCTCTCTCATATCATTCCGAGCAGGCTGAGCATGTCATTTGCAGCAGATAAATTGTAAATAGATTTGGGAGACCTGAGTTTAATTATCTTGATCATAGATATACTGTACAGCCTAAGTCACACTAATTCTCATTATTAACATATTTTCAATGGAAACAAGCTTATGTCGTCATGTTGTAAAGGAGAATATGGGAAAGCATTGCACAAGGGCTGTATAAAAAACCAAGCACTAGTGGATAATCTTTTTTAACATTTCACACTTACCCATAGGCTCTATTTTCAGGTAGGTTAGAGTGAGCTTTTACTCCGGGAGGGATGACACGCACTTCATTGATGTAAACTACGCATGGGAAACGAACCACGTCTACATTACTACTTTGCTAAACAAACAAGATTGAAGAAAAGAACAAAGATTATTAAGCGTGAAAAAATGTTCACCATTTTTCTTAAGCACTCTGATGTCTGCATGAAAAAGGAATGCTTTGCCCACTCTTTTTAAAAGAGGGCTGAATCCACCCATTCTTCATGACATGTGCCACCCACATCATGCTACTTGCCACTTATAATGGAAAATACCAGTTTTAAAAATGACAGGTACTGCATACTGTCTTTGAAGAGCACAGTTTAATTTCTCTTTTATCTTTTTAAATGCTGCCTACCTACTGGTATAAACTCCCAACTGATATGCATCTAGATGTGTCACAAATGTAAGTATACATATAATTCGCTCAGGAACAGCACTCAGCCTCTCACTGATTTCCTATACACATCAACCAAGCTGATATGATGTCATGGACTACAGTATTCAGAACATTCTGACTATTACAGGAAGGACCACTTGTCACGTTAAGTAGAATACCTGATACAGTATTAAGAACCGAGTGTTGTATGCATTTTCACATATAAAAGGGAAATATTACACTAGGACCAGAAACAAGAAGAGAGTTTTTTGGATAACAAATAGGGGGAGATGTGCATCAAGAGAACAGTGGGCTTCAGCTGACATAGGGCCTGCCAAGATGGGGAATTTGGAGCAGACTGATTAAAGGTTCTTATCTTCAGTGCCATCTATTTTATCTCTCACTTGAACAATTCTTCCATTCACACTAGCAGTGCTTATTCTCCCGAGAGAGGAGTCCACAGAAGTCTTTAGACCACCTGTTTACTCACAGCGGCAGTACTGGTGCAAGGGGGAAATGGTGGGGTGGAGGCTGGGGAGACAGAACGAAGGTAACTCTCTTATTTTCCTGCCTTTGTCCTCAGACAGGACTGTGCTGGGGCTGCACTGCCTTGGGGGGGGGGAGCCATGAAGTCTACATGGCTCCCTTCCCCACCTTTTCTTTTTTCTTTTCTCTTCAAGTATGTGTCATACTTTTTTACTTTTTTTTTTACTTTTATAGAATTTATACCACGCCCCTCTAGACAAAGTCTACTCGGGGCAGCTTACATGAATAATAAAATACAATAAAATAACATACATAGTGATAAATACCTACTAACTAATACGTATACAGTGGGGTCTTGACTTGAGAACTTAATCCGTATTGGAAGGCGGTTCTGAAGTCAAAAAGTTCTCAGGTCAAATCTGCATTTCCCATAGGAATGCATTGAAAACCATTTGATCCGTATCTCCTCTTTTCTGTCCATAGAAACTAATGGTATGTAAGTCAAGTCAATATTTTTCTATGAGAGTGGTTCTTAAGTCAAAATGTTCTTAACTCAAGCCGTTCTTAAGTCAAGACCCCACTGTATACATTATCAAGATGGGAAAGCTAAAAAGGAAAATCAGTTAATTGACTGGAGGGAAGACCTGGCTTTTAAAGCAAAAGAGCATAGCAAAAGAGCAATGCATCAGCCTAGCATGGTATTAGAATTGTGCAGCATCAATTAGGGAAATATTTTTAAAAAGTAAAAAACAGAGGAAGGAGATTCTGCATCCTCCCTTTTAATGTCGCAACCCACCTATTATGTCACAGGGTTGGCACCTCTGATAATGCCACCTGCAGTTCCGTTTGGGTACCAACTAGCCAGCTACATAAGTTCATCTCATTTTAGGCTCAGTAAAGAATTTGAGTTCTAATGTTAAGTAATAACATTAAGAAGATCCGTCACCGCAGGTTACTGGATCCTGATGGATTCCAAGATACCATTCAGGGTTTCCGGCTGACTTGGTTGGCGCTCCTGTCAATGCTCTGTCAAAGCAGCCAAACCAGTAACAACAGAATCGGCCACTGCAATAGTTAATGAGTCTCTCCAGGAGGGCATGGCTCCCCCTGCCCTCAAGGAGACACTCATTAGACCCATTCAAAAGGAAACCTGATTTGACAGCGGACGAAACTAGGAATTATAGGCCAGTTGCCAAAGTTTCTTTCTTGATTAAAGTGGTCAAGAGGGTGGGTGCCGATCAGCTCCAGGCCCTCCTGGAGGAAACTGATGTTCCACTCCAGTCAGGCTTCAGGCCGCGGCATGGTGCAGAAACGGCACTGGTCGCCCTGCAGGATGACCTCCTGAGGGAGGCTGACAGGGGCAATATGTCCTTGTTGGTCCTCCTCAATATCTCGGCGGCCTTTGATACCATTAACCACAGTATCCTCCTGGGGAGGCTCTCTGAGTTGGGAATAGGTGGCCTGGCATTGGCCTGGCTCCGTTCCTTCTTGGAGGACCATCCCCAGAGAGTGCACCATGGAAACCCAGGTGGCATCTGTGGTCCGGGCAGCCCACTTCCATCTTCGGAGGATTGCCCAGCTGTGTCTCTATCTAGATGTGAGGGCACTCACAATGCTGATTCATGCCCTCGTAATTTCAAGAATAGACTACTGCAGTGCTCTCTATGTCAGGCTACCCTTGAGGCAGATGTGGAGACTTCAACTGCTCCAGAATTCAGCAGAATTTCCGTATCGACTTCAAGGTTATGATGATAACATTCAAAGCCCTAAATGGTTTAGGACCTCAGTATCTATCAGAACACCTGTTCCCAACCAGATTTGTCCGTAATACCTGTTCTTCACAGTCCTGGAGAGAAAAAACAAGAAACCGGGCCTTCTCAGCGGTCGCCCACAACCTGTGGAACAACTTGCCCATTGAGATCCGCCTGGCACCCTCGCTGCATGGGTTCAAACGAGAGGTAGCCCTGGCGTCAGTGGGCTGGAAAATTCCCTCTCCTTTGGGGGAATGACTCTTCCCACGAAGAGCGAGGTTTGCATCTTGAGCATCTGCCTGGACCCGGATCTCACCATGGAAACCCAGGTGGCATCTGTGGTCCGGGCAGCCCACTTCCATCTTCGGAGGATTGCCCAGCTGTGTCTCTATCTAGATGTGAGGGCACTCACAATGCTGATTCATGCCCTCGTAATTTCAAGAATAGACTACTGCAGTGCTCTCTATGTCAGGCTACCCTTGAGGCAGATGTGGAGACTTCAACTGCTCCAGAATTCAGCAGAATTTCCGTATCGACTTCAAGGTTATGATGATAACATTCAAAGCCCTAAATGGTTTAGGACCTCAGTATCTATCAGAACACCTGCTCCCAACCAGATCTATCCGTAATACCTGTTCTTCACAGGCCTGGAGAGAAATACAGTAACAAGAAACCGGGCCTTCTCAGCGGTCGCCCACCACCTGTGGAACAACTTGCCCATTGAGATCCGCCTGGCACCCTCGCTGCATGGGTTCAAACGAGCACTGAAGACTTGGCTCTTCCACCAGGCTTTCCCTGAGCATTAAGATCTCGGTCTCCCTTTTACCGTCCTTTTTGCCATCCTTTTCATCACCCTTTTTACCACCTTCATTGCCATCTGTTTTAATTTATCCTGTTGGCTATGTATTATTTTATATTTTTATCATCTTTTAATATTACTTTTTATATTGTTGTTAGCCGCCCAGAGTGGCCTGGTTGCCAGATCGTTCGGGGTATAAATCTAATAAATATAAACAAATAAATAAATAAATATTTGCTTTTATTTTATTCTAAGAGACTAGTAAAACCTCTGTCATTTTATTTTGCAGTGTTTTGCACCACTATTGTTTTTATCATTCTCCTGTACATCACTCAGTTTTTCTTGAAGACCAGCATATATCTTTTTTGAATAAATAAACATGTGAACTACCAAAGTAAATATAGCCCACCCATGACCACCAAACCTTCATGTTTTCCTACCTGCCTCAATCCCACTTTAATGAATGCATATTTCATTGACTAGTTGTCATGTGCACCATCTAATGGAATGCAGACACAAATGTAATAATAAATAAATAATAAAACGTAAAGGTGAAAAGCGCAGCCAGACACTGGGCAGACCATAACCCACTGAAAGCTGTATTTACCTTGCTGGAACAGAATCCATGTAATCTTACACTATAAGAAACCACACTGACTATATAACCATAGGTCAGCTCCAATCCACACCTGATGGCACAACACTAATGGGCTTCTCCGCACAATTCAAATGGAAAGGGCAGCCTTCTGAGATACAGAACTGCTTCTTCCATAGGGGGAAAAAATCTAAGCTTTGCCATCAAACGAGCTCTGAGAATGCCCATAATAACCTGATAAATTAGGCCATCTTCTATAAATAAGAGAACAGCATGACTGCTTAGCTGCTAACATCATGCTACTTAGGCAGGGTTACAGCTGGGCACTCACTGCACACGTTGTGCTGCACCCTTGGCAGCCCTTTTCTCATTATTTTAAGCTTCACTTTTCAGTCACAATGTATATAAAACAGAGTTTTGTTCATCTTATTGAAATATGAAACAAGTGGTTCAAATGTAGAATATTCCTTCTATCGTGACTGAGAAACACAACAGAAAATGCCCAATAGAGCAAACATTTTCTAACAATGCATTAAAGGAGACATTTAAAGCTACTGATACTACTTATAAACCCAAGCTGGACTACATTTTCTTTTCCCTATGCTAATGCACTTGAAGTCTGGAATCTCATGCACAGAACAAAACATACTACAGAAAAGCAGGCTCACTTTTTCAAAGAAGGCAACTAACATTCCTGAACATTCCCAAGGACTACTTGCTGAAAGGAATACAAAAGGCATTTGTTTTAAAAATCTCTTTTCTTTACAAACATTGTTCAAGTTGCATTCTCTCCACAAGGGTAAATAGTAAACATAGTATCACAGAACACTTCACTGCAAGCATATAAGTATATGTGGTAGCCAACTTAGCTTTTCAGATGTTCAAAGTCTGTAGCATTCACAACTGTCAACTAATGAAGACCAAACTATATTACAACTGCTAATATATTTCTGATTTGAACTCAACGTTTTGGTCATGGCTTTCAAAAATGGTCTGGTCAAATGTCTGGGATATTAAAGGGGGGGCTCTCATTATACATACCCATCTGATCACTAAGATCTACAACAGGCTTGTCCAACCCGTGGCCCAAGGGCCGCATGCGGCCCAGGTCAGCACGTAATGCGGCTCAGTGCAATTTTTTATTTTTAAAGGAATTCCAAAGTTTCAAGTTACACTGCCGGCGCTTGCGGCCGGAGCACATCACAACGGTGGGGGGGGACAGAGGGAAGGAAGAAAGGAGCGGGAGGGGAGGGGAGAGGGGGGCTGTGTGACTGCATTGCGCCGACCCCGTCGATAGGTGGACCCCCTCCCGGCCCCATAAAGCCACTGGATTCTAAGCTGGCAGCCTCTGCTGTCTGAGATCGCAGCTGCCGGTAAGCGCGCTTGGAGCGGGGCTGCGGAGGATGGCTAGGGCTGCCCCCCATGCGGCCCAAACCAAATTTATGTGCGGCCCAAACCAAATTTTCATCTTCTAATGTGGCCCAGGGAAGGTTGGACACCCCTGATCTACAAGGTGAGGGGAGACTTCTCTGTGTCTCACTATAACAGCAGTTGAACAAATGGAAATACAAAAGACTGCTTCTCTACCTGTAACGTACAGGTCATGCAACATACTGCTAACTGGCACCAATACTGATTTCATTTTGGCATTAAGGTCTACTGTGACAGTTTGCCCACACATCTGGCATTAAGTGAATCTTTGGTTTATTGGTTTGTGAGTTTTATTTGCACTGCTGAATAGGACTATATTATTTCCATTACATTTCTTTTAAATTCACTGGTCAAAAATAGTTTGATTGTCTTTAATTTGGTTTTTTTTAATTTGCCTATATTTCAAGCATGTCCAAGATTCCGAATTGTGCAACACTCTGATACGAATTGAGAATGAAAGAACTCACCTTATGGTGTTTACATACAGGGAAGGCTAACAAATTTTAAGGAAGACTACACAAATTTTAAGGTCTTCCGCTACCCCGTTGGTCTATTATGCCATCATGATCAACTGAAACCCACAGAACTGTTCATAAAAGGGATCAATTAAATCCATAATAATGGTCACAATATAGTGGTAGACCTTTCCCTGAAAGTATCTCGCCCAGATTTGACAGTACTAAATTCCAGATCAGCAATTACAAAAACACACCAGATAACATATACCAATTAAAGTAATGATGATCATCTAGGCATATTTCGGAAAAGAAAAGGAATGTGAAATATTGTTTCTATGCCTTGCACTTGGGCGAGGACCGAGATTCGAGCCACTAAAAGGCCCTCAGGAAACGATGCGAATGCAAATCGCTATTGCCCTTTAATGACGAAACTTGCATTTGGAGCGACCCGCCCTGACTCTGACGCACGAAAGGGTCCCCTGCCCCGAAAACCGAAAGATTACCCCCCCGCGCGCGAGCCTGTCCTTTCTAGGCAGCTGCCGATAAGGGGGGGAGAGGGAAAGGGGGGGGTCTTCCGCTACCCCGTTACCTCCGTGCTCTGGTGTTTGAACGTGTCTAGAAACAGGAGCTCCGTTGTTGTCTCCGCCGCCATCTTCCGTCGGCGGAACTACCTTGCCCTGAGAAAGGCAAGCATGTCCGGAGTCAACAAAGGACTGCGCATGCGCTCGAGGCTCCGCTCTGCGGGCTCTTCGCCCCTCGGTCCTTTTGCTGTGAACAGCGAGGCCAAGGGATGCTGGAAGGAAGGCGGGGAGACAGGCGCGAAATGGCACCGAGGTTGCAGATGCTCTGCCTCCTGGGTTTAGGAATACTCTTCGTGCGGTGCTTCTGAGTAAAACTGCCGGGGAGGAAGCCCCTCGACTGCGGAGCATTGTAGCCTTTATTCCTCAGTGCGAGGTCTTACTCCCGAGTAAACCCATGTAGGGTTGGGCTCCCCTGCCCCGCCCGCTTGACGGGCACTGTGTTCCTCTGAAGAATGTACGCGTAGAATCAGATTAAAGGAAAAGCTTCTTGGCACATCTTCGACAGGCACTGGGAACGGTCAACACCGATAACACAAAGCGACATAAATGCCAACGACGTTGCGTAGAATCAGATTAAAGGAAAAAGCTTCTTGGCACATCTTCGGCAGGCACTGGGAACGGTCAACACCGACAACACAAAGCGACATAAATGCCAACGACGTTTGTTTGCAGCCATTTCGACTGCCCTCAGCTGAATTTCCTTTGCCTCCTGCCCTGCCGCTTTAAATAAGTATATTTCGCGCAGCATGTGGCTTGTGCCATTTAATTTGGTTGGGTTTCATTTATTTTTGACGTTATCATTGCTAGTTTTTTTTAATTGTATTGTGAACCGAATAGCAGAATATTGCTATGTTGAAATTAACAAGTTAACATGCAAATTAGTGCATGATCACCTGAGAAGAGAGAAGTGTTTGTTTACTAACATGCAGGTAACGTGAACCCCCTCCTCTCCCTAACTATTTGGCGGGCAGAAGTGACCCTTGTTCTTCATTCTTGCTAACTTCTGAAAACCTATAGTTTTGTACATCTTTTTGCAACTTTTAAATCAAGCTCCAGCCTACAGTTTTCAAGTTTTTCAGTGAGTAAAGATTTATTTTCTTTTTACCTTAAAAGTAGTGTCTGAGTAAATTATTCAAGCTGGTTAAATGCAATGGGGTGTGTGAATGTTTTTACTGGGGACTTGCTAATCAATCTTAACTCCAAACGTTGCTAGCTTTTTATCATTGTGTAATTAAGGGAATTAAAATATTCCTCTGTGCTGTGACTACCAGGTACATTATCTGCTACAAGTCCCATCAGGTTACAAGCACAGGTAGCAACAAAGGAGTGCATATTGAATGTTAGCAAGTACTGTATTTGGGTAGCTTTTGTTAAAGTTAAGTGTTTAGGGTTTGCATTGTTTCAACCACCCCCAACCTAGTGCATTTCCAGCTAGAGATAAGACTGCTGTGGAGGTAGAAGGATGGCTATTAACAACGAACATTCAGGGAACTGGCTGCCTAAACTGAACGAAGATGAATTTTCTTTCTTGCTTCTTCATTTGAAAAAGAATCTAAAAGCTCAAAAGATGTATAAGACTATAATGGAGGACCCTCCCACTGCAACAGACAAGATTATCTGAATGGAAAGAGAAGGATTTTATGGTTCAGGGTGTAATTATAAAGAGCATCAATAACGAAGAAATTATTCTAGCCCCAAAATGCAAATCTGCCAAAATGTTAATGGCTCTTAAAAAGTTGTTTGAATATTCCATTTTTAAAACTCTGTGTACCTGGACAGCACAAATTATTAAATTTAAATTAACCTCCATATATGACTGCCATTCTCGTATCTGCCTTGCTACGAATTTTCTCTGATCTCAGTCTTTGTAATTGACTGATGTATAAAAGGTGGCATTTTTGTATGGGACCCTGGGTGATGTTTTCCAACACTTTGTGTCCGTGATCAGTGCCCAAAAGAAAGATTTTCAGGAGGCTTTGAGATCTTTGAAGGAAAAATGTGCATGTAGACGCATTATTAGAAGCTGTAATACAGGAAGTCAGGCATCTGACTCAAGTTACATTGTCCTGTAACCAATCAGCTACTTGTTGTAACTGTGGAAAGGGAAGGTACCTGGCAAAGGATTGCTACACCCCTAGAGGGTGCTCAGCCAATGGCAGCTCTCCATAGTTTGAACAAAGAGCTAAAAGATGGTAGAATGCAGCTTCTAACTTTAAGAGAGAAGCGTAACCCAAGCAAGGAATTTAAACAGAAATCCCTTATGGCTTATGAAGCTGTACAGAGCTCTCAGCATTCATGTAACTGAGCTCTAGATTCCAGCACAACCATGCACATATGCTACAAAAAATATTTCTTCAAAATTCTTGATGATGGTTTTTCTGGTATGATACTAATGGAAGCTTTGTAAAAATTCAGGGGCAAGGATCTGTCATTTTATTGCGTCATGTAGAAGATGCAATTAATGAAATTACTAACAGGAGGTCCTATTTGTGCCAGAAGCAAAATGCAATTTGATATGAGATTCAGACGTTCAAAATACATAATTCAAAAAGATGGTAAAATATATCTGGAAGCTACTAGTACTAATGATATCTGTAAATTGAATTTCTTAGAGGAACAGGAAGGACAGTCCAAGTCCAGGAAGAAACTGGCAGCAAGTGAAATTTATGGTTCAGATCTTTGGGCCCCAGAGACATAAAGGCTGTAGCCATGGGTGTCAAGGTAACGTCACGTGAGAGAAGCAACATACCCAAGTGCATAATCTGTGCTACTGAAAAAGGTGTCAGAATTTTATTTTATTCAATTATTGAGAAAAGGAGCAGTAAGGTTCACCTTAATTGATACAGACTACAGATGGGGACTTGGCGCTTTGTCTTCCCACAAATTGCCCACCCCAGTGACCCGAGGAACAACAAATCAATTCAGCATTTTGGGGTCTCTTTTTTCCCCTTGCTTTCCCTCAAGAGGAGGGAAAGCAGGGATCAAAGCAATCACAGCTGCGGGATTGCTTTAATCCCTTTCCCCCTCCTCTTGCTAAGGCCTGTGGGATAAGAAGAAGGAGAGCAGGGATCAAAGTAATCCTACAGCACTTTGATTTCTCTTTCCCAGCGGGGCTTAGCAAAAGGAGGGGGACAGCAGGGATCAAAATGATCCTGCAGTGCTTTGATTCCTGCTTTCCCCCTTCTTGTCCCATGGGGCTTAGCAAGAAGAGGGAGAAAGGGATCAAAGTACTCCCGCAGCAGCTAGGGGATCCCTTTGATCCCTTCCCTCTTTTATGCCGCACAGGAAGAGGAGGAAAGGGGAACCAAGCCATCCCCCAGCCCCAGGGGTGGGATTCCCTTCGGGCAGGCTTTAGCAAGCCGCTCGAAGGAAAACCCCTCTCTACTTATGCTCTTGAGGAACAGCTGATCCGCAGGAACATAAGCAGTTAGGAAACAAGGGAAAATATGAAAGTGTTATATTCATCATAGTGTGATCCACTTAATGTCACTCAGAGGCAACAGATACATTGTAATTTTTGTGGATGACTTTTCAAGGTACTGTATCATCTATCTGCTTAAGGAGAAAAGTGAGGCTCACAAGGTCATCAAGAAGTATCTAGCCATAGTGAGCAATAGATGGGGGGGGGTCAAAAGCAATCCAGTCACACAATGGAGGTGAGTTTATTTCACATTTAACAAATACCCTCCTTGAGGAACAAGGCATAGCACACTATAAATCTGTTCTTTACACACCAAAACAAAATGCACTTATTGAAAGGAAATTGAGATCTCTCTTGAAGATGACCAGATGCATGCTTACAGATGCTGAGTTGCTCAATAGCTTTTGTGGCAACTCAGTTGTGACAGCAACTTACCTGCTGAATAAATTGCCAACCAAAGGTGCCACAAAAATGCCTTTTGAATTGTGGCACAGTAAAATACCAAGTGTGAAACACATCCAAGTGTTTGGTTGTTAAGCATTTGCTTATGTATCCAAGCAGAAAAGGCACAAATTGGACTCTAGAATTGAACGGGCACTTAATTGGCTATGCCCCAGGTGCAAAAGGGTGATGAACTTAAAAACAGAAGACACTGGCATAAGACACTTGGTCCATTTTGATGAGCAAATGAAAACTGATAAAAGAGGGACTATATTAAGCAGATCTAAGTATCAAGGCCAGTATGATATCCCACTTCTAGACACAATGATACCAATGTCCTCAAGAGCCAAGTCAGAGAGAGAACAGGACAGTGACACACAAGGTGGAAGGAATATACCAGAAGAAGGACATGATAAAGTGGATGCAGATGAATTAGCTGACAAAGCTACTGGACTGGAACAGGCCTCCAGGCAATAAACAGCACATGAGCCAACAGTGTTTCCAGACCCAGAAGTCAGATGCTCATTGCTATCCAATAGAGATATGCCACTCCTTTGCCTGTCCTACTCTGCAAGGTTGTTGCAAACAAGTGGATCAGCAATCTGGGAGGAAGATGAACAAATGCCAGCAGTAAGGGGTGCCAAATGGAGACTAGCTGCAAAGGAGGGGATAGAAGCCTTACCTGAGAATGGAACTTGAACATTGGTGACACTGCCACCAGAGAAGGAAGCCACTGAGTGCAAATGGGTGTTTAAGGAGAAGAAAGGTACAAATGGAGAAGTGGAGCATCACAAGGCAAGGCAGGTGTCAAAGGTTTTCTGCAGAAGTATGGAGAAGACTTTGATGAAACTTTTGTTCCAGTTGTAATGCACAGAATGCTAAGGGTGCTTTTCAGCATAGCAGCATCTAGACAGATGCAAGTGAAACACCTAGGCATCAAGACTGCTTTTCTACGTGTCAAGATTGAAGAGGAATTGTACATGGATCAATCCCCTGGTTTTGTGAACAGCAATATCCTGATTGTGTCTGCAAACTGAAGAAAGTCCTTTATGGATTGAAACAGGCTGCCAGAGCCTGGAATGAGAAACTGAAGACAATTCTACTGCCACAAGACTTCAGGCAAGGTGAAGTAGATCCATGTCTGCACACCAGAAACAAAGACAGAGATTTAACCTTTATTCTAACTTATGATGACATCCTAATTCTAGTTACACGCAGGCAGAAGGAGTTCAAGCAGGTAGTACATGAACTTAGTCAGGAGCTAGAGATAAAAAAGCT